GGGGCCCAGGCCTTCGCCTCCACTGCCAAGTGCCTGAACATCTGGGCCCTGATCTTCAACATCCTCCTGACGATCGGCGCCATCGTGATTCTCATCATCTTCTCAGCAGCGGTTGTCCAGGCTGTTTCACAGATGATGAACCATCCTGGGGGCTTCTAGTCTTGCCATGTCCTGACCCCCTAGCTGGCCCTGCACCCGGGGCTGAGGCCCTGCCCCTGCACTCCACGCTTTCTGAAGCATTTACACGCACCCATCTGTCCACAGTGGGATTCAATAAAGTGTTTGTATGCGGGTGTGCTGTGATCTCGCCTGGGGAGGGGTCTGCTGGCAGTCCCAGCCTGGTGCACCGTCTGAGCCCCTCTCCCTCTGCTGTCTGGCCTCCTGCTGTGGGCAGCAGCTGACCAGGATCCTGGGTGTGGCTCTCTACAACCTCTGAGCCCTGACCCAGGGAGCACTGTGTCCTGAGTCCCCTTGCCCTCTATCACCTCTTTGGGTTCTGGGGTGGACGTGTGTAGCCCTGGCCTTGTTGGATGGATGGGGGCTCCTGTGTCTCTAGAGAGTGGTGACCGAGAAAGACCCTGCCAGGGCCTCCTGACCCAGCCACCTCTGGCTCCATCCTGGCTGCTGCTTCCTCCTGTCCACTGGGCACTATCCATTCTCCTGTTTCGTGGGGAGCAGCCAGTGGCTGGCAGAGGGGCAGAGACCTCAGTTGTGGGCTCACTGCAGAAGGAGTGTCAGACCTGGGGACCTGTCAGGGGTGTTGGGGCAGACTCTGAGAGCTCCAGATTATCCAATGCCTTGAACTCCTGGTGCTGGCCCAGGAATATGTCTCTGCAAGATGGGGACCCAGGGCCTTGAGTGTGAGTTCTAGCTCTAGTTCTGGAGTTGCCCACACACTGTGGAGCTGGGCCTTCCTCCCTCGTGGCTCCACAGGGTCCTGCCAAGGCCTGGGAGGACAGTTCCCTTCTGCTCAGAACCTTGGAGCAGTAACCCTTCAAGCTCTGTCTGCTCTGTCCTGAGGGTCACCTGCAGATCCACCTGCCAAGTTCCTAGGCCCGTGGGCCTGTGCCCACCAGCGCCCCAGACCTGGAGTCTCTCAAGCGAATTGCTGTACTGGTGCCTGGTCCGCAGACAGAGTGCTCTCGCTGTCCCTGGGTGCCCGGAGTTGGAGCCAGAGGAGCCTGAGAGGGTCATCTGGGTGGATGGAAGCTCCTGACAGAGAGCACCTTCTGCAGGCTGAAGCCCAGCGGCGCCCCCTGCCTGCCA